GGGGAAAGGAGGGGACGCCCCCTCCCGGCGGCCCCCGTGGCTGCGGGGCTCCAGGGGGGTCAGACGTACGTAGTTGTCCCGCGCCGACCACGTCGGGTAGAGCTGGGAGTGCAGCTGCCGCTCCTTCCGCGCCAGCTCGTAGTACTTCGCCTGCTCCTCCCGCGACAGCGAGTGCCACTGCAGGGGGAGAAGAGACCACGCTGCCAACCCCGAAGCCATTCCGCAAAACCCCAAAGCCACACTGCGAACCCCAAAGCCGCACTGGGAACCCCAAAGCCATTCTGCGAACCCCAAAGCCATTCTACAAACCCTAAAGCCACGCTGTGAACCCCAAAGCCACGCTGCAAACCTTGAAGCCATTCTGCAAACCCCAAAGCCATTCTGCAAACTCTATAGCCATTCTGCAAATCTTAAAACCATTCTGCAAGCCCCAAAGCCACACTGCAAATCCTAAAGCCACGCTGCAAACCCCAAAGCCATGTTGCTGTCCCAAAAGCCATTCCGCAAATCCTAAAGCTACACGGCAACCCTTGAAGCCATTCTGCAAACCCCACAGCCATTCTACAAACCCTAAAGCTACGCTGTGAACCCCAAAGCCACACTGCAAATCCTAAAGCCACGCTGCAAGTAACCCCCAGGGCCAGCAAACCCCACAGCCATTCTACAAACCCTAAAGCTACGCTGTGATCCCCAAAGCCATTCTGCTGGCCCCAAAGCCATTTTGCAAACCCTAAAGCCACGCTACAAACCCTGAAGCCATTCTGTAACCCCCAGGGCCATGCCGTAAATCCCCAAAGCCATGCTGCAAACCCCAAAGCCACACTGCAAACCCCAAAGCCATGCTGCTGGCCCCAAAGCCATTCTGCAAATCCTAAAGCTACACTGCAAACCTTGAAGCCATTCCGCAAACCCTAAAGCCACGCTGCAAACCTTGAAGCCATTCTGCAAACCCTAAAGCCACGCTGCAAACCTTGAAGCCATTCTGCAAACCCTAAAGCCACACCGCAAACCCCAAAGCCACTCTCCAAACCCCAAAGCCATTCTCCAAACCCCAAAGCCATGCTGTGATCCCCAAAGCCACGCTGTAAATCCCACAGCCATTCCGCAAACCCCGAAGCCATGCCACAAACCCAAAGCCATTCTGCAAGCCCTAAAGCCATGCTGCAAACCCTGAAGCCATTCTGCAAACCCCAAAGCCATGCTGTAAATCCCCAAAGCCACACTGTGAACCCCGAAGCCGCACTGTGAACCCCAAAGCCACACTGCGAACCCCAAAGCCACACTGTGAACCCCAAAGCCACACTGCTGGCCCCAAAGCCATTCTGGCAACCCTAAAGCCACGCTGTGAACCCCAAAGCCGTGCCGTGAACCCTGAAGCCACGCCGCTGGCCCCAAAGCCATTCCGCAAGCCCCAAAGCCATACTGCAAACCCCAAAGCCACGCTTCCAGCCCCGAGGACGCACTGCCCCGGCGTCGCAGGGCTCCCAGCCACCCCGTTGCCACCCAGGTCCCTAGCAGCTCCCTGGAACCTCTGGGGCTGGCGATAGCCCAGGACCAGGGACCAAGCCGTGGGGAAGGGGGGAGCAAAGGGGGCTGGAAACCATTTTAAGGTCCCCAACGGGGCACGAAGCCGGTGCCGGGGGAGATGCTGGTACCCGTCTGCCCAGGATCTGGTTGATGGCGGCGCTCTCCTTCAGCGTGCACTCGGCCACCACCTTGGCCCTCATCTCCTTCATGTACAACATGAAGGCGTTGAGCGGTTTCTTGATGTGGGGTTTCTTCTCCTCCTCCTTCTTCACAGTGACGGGGGATTTCCTGCAACGAGCGGGACGACGGGTCAGGACACCAAGAGGATGAGCTCCCATCCCCGGGGGATGTCCTGTTGTCCCCCCCCGCAACCTCACACAACTCACGAGTTGCCTCCGGGGCTGACACTGGGCTGGGTGGGTTCCTGCTTCACGATGGGTGAGACGATGGTGGGGTGCGGGATGCCCGAGGGGTGCAGCCCGTGGGTGGGCGGTGGGACCATGTGCGGGGAGAAACGGCTGGACATCAAACTGCAGCGGAGGGAGCGGGAGGGGAGGGCTCTCATCAGCTCTCCATGGGCACCAACAGCCCCCAGCTTCCACCCCGAACCCTCCCGAGAACCTCCTGGGCTGAGAGACCACCAGCCCCAACCCACCTGGGCTCTGGTTTTACACTGGGACTTGCCCCAGCTTGTAGGTTGGTAACACGGACCCAACTTAAGTGATGCCCTGAGCCCATGGGACGTCACTTTTACCCCACAGGGACACCTGGACCACCTACACCCTCCTGGGGGTGTTTTCAGCCGAGGAGGCCACCACAACCTCCTGCACCCGTGCAGAGTCCCCAGGAGCACCTGCTGCCGACTCTGCTGTGGGGCTGAGTCCCACATCGTCCTCGGCGGGGGGGAAGATGCCAAAAACCCGCTACCAGCTGCGGGGGATGCCCGAGGAGGGTCCTTCATCCCCACCGAGACCGACCTGGACATGGAGGCGTTCATGGCGAGGGCAGGGTAGGGGTGCCGAAAGCCGCCGGGAGGGATGGAGTACACGGGCTGTCCTTGCCTGCAAACACACAAGCTTTAGTGGGGAAAAACATCCCTCCCCAATTCACGGGGGCCCTTGGATGGCTCATCTCCATCCCCACGACTCCCAAAATTTCCAGTGGTGGGGAGTCCTAACCCCTGTGGGAGCCCTCCGCATCCCCCCGATGGGAAAAAGCGGACAGAGAGGGAAGAGGAGGAGGGTCCTGGGGGGGATGTGGGGCTCGTGGGACCCGGCGGGGGACAGGGACAGGGAGGGGGGGGTAGGGGGGCAGCTCGGACGGGTGCGGTGGCCGTGGGATTCCTGCAGAGGGAGGGAGGGAGGGGAAACGGTGTTAAACCACGGGCATGGCAGCCTCTGAGCTGCCCCCGAGCATCCTCATCCTCCCTCTGAGCACCCCATCTTCCTCCGGGCACCTCGTCTGCCTCTGAGCGCCCAGTCTCCCTGCAAACATCCCGCCTCCCTCCGAGCATCCCACCTCCTTCCGAGCACCCCATCTCTCAGCATCCCACCTCCCTCCGAGGACCCCATCTCCCTCCAAGCACCCATCTCCCTCTGCGCTCCCTCCCTTTGAGCACCCCATCTGCCTCGGAGCACCCAGCCTCCCTCCGAGGACCCCATCTCTCAGCACCCCACTTCCCTCCGAGCATCCCACCTCCTTCCAAGTACCCCATCTTCCCCCACGCATCCCATCTCCCACCAAGCGTCCATCTCCCTCTGAGCACATCTCCCTCCTGGCACACCATTTCCCTCCCTGCAGCCCATCTCTCTCTGAGCATCCTGTCTGCTGCTGAGCATTGCATCTCCCGCTGAGTGTCCATCTCCCTCCAAGCACCCCATCTTCCTGGGAGCACCCAGTCTCCCTCCAAGCATCCCACCCCCGTCCAAGCATCCCCCCTCCCTCTGAGCACCCATCTTCCATCTCCCTCTGAGCACCCTCCCTTTGACCACCCTATCTGCCTCGGAGCACCCAGTCTCCCTCTGAGAACCCCATACCTCAGCATTCCGCCTCCCTCTGAGCATCCCATCTCCTTCCAAGCATCCCATCTTCCTCTGAGCATCCCACCTCCCTCCGAGGACCCCATTCTCCCTCCGAGCACCCATCTCCCATGTCCCTCTGAGCACCCCATCTTCCTCTGAGCACCTCATCTGCCTCTGAGCACCCAGTCTTCCTCCAAGGACCCCATCTCCCATCTGCCTTGGAGCACCCAGTCTCCCTCTGAGCATCCCACCTCCCTCTGAGGACCTCGCCTCCCTCCAAGCACCCATCTCCCATCTCTCTCCGAGCACCTTTGACTACCCTATTTGCCTCGGAGCACCCAGTCTCCCTCCGACGACCCCGTCTCTCAGCATTCCGCCTCCCTCCGAGCATCCCCTCTCCTTCCAAGCATCCCATCTTCCTCTGAGCATCCCACCTCCCTCCGAGGACCCCATTCTCCCTCCGAGCACCCATCTCCCATATCCCTCTGAGCACCCCATCTGCCTCTGAGCACCTTATCTGCCTCTGAGCACCCATTCTCCCTCTGAGCACCCCATCTCTCAGCATCGCGCCTCCCTCTGAGCATCCCTTCTCCCTCTGAGCACCCATCTCCCATCTCCCTCCGAGGACCCTCCCTTTGACCATCCCATCTCCCTTGGAGAACCCAGTCTCCCTCCGAGCATCCCACCTCCCTCTGAGCATCCCACCTCCTTCCAAGCATCCCATCTGCCTCTGAGTGCCCAGTATCCCTCTGGGCACCCCATCTCCCTTCAAGCATCCCATCTCCCTCCGAGCACCCCATCTCCACCTCCCTCCAGAGGACCCAGTCTCCCTCCGAGGACCCCATCTCTCAGCATCCCACCTCCCTCCGAGCATCCCCTCTCCTTCCAAGCATCCCATCTTCCTCTGAGCATCCCACCTCCCTCCGAGGACCCCATTCTCCCTCCAAGAACCCATCTCCCATCTCCCTCTGAGCACCTTATCTGCCTCAGAGCACCCAGTCTCCCTCCGAGCACCCCATCTCTCAGCATCGCGCCTCCCTCCAAACATCCCTTCTCCCTCCGAGCACCCCACCTTCCTCCGAGCATCCCACCTCCCTCCGGGCACCCCATCTCCCTTTAAGCATCCCATCTCCCTCCAAGCATCCCATCTCTCAGCATCCCACCTCCCTCCAAGCATCCCATCTCCCTCCGAGCACCCCATCTCTCTCCCAGCACCCCTCTGGAGCATGGGGAGAGGATGCCGAGACAACCATAGCGGAGACCTGGGGGGATCCCCACGCACCCCCACCACCCCTGCGACCAGGTGAGGACCCGTCCGTCATCTCTCAGCATCCCATCTCCCTCCAAGCACCCCATCTCCCATCGCCCTCCGAGCACCCAGTCTCCCTTCGAGCATCCCACCTCCCTCCGAGCATCCCACCTCCCTCCAAACATCCCATCTCTCAGCATCCCACCTCCCTCCAAGCATCCCATCTCCCTCCGAGCACCCCATCTCTCTCCCAGCACCCCTCTGGAGCATGGGGAGAGGATGCCGAGACAACCATAGCGGAGACCTGGGGGGATCCCCACGCACCCCCACCACCCCTGCGACCAGGTGAGGACCCGTCCGTCCCCGGCCACCATCCGTGTCCCCTTCCCACCACCCAGGCACCGGGCTGTGAAAACCCCCCGGGAAGCAGAGGGACCATCCCTCCAGGAAGCACCCCGTTCCCGGCAGGGCACCGTCCCTGTTCCCGTCCCCTTTGCTCGCCCAAAAGGTGCTGGATGGCCGCATCCCCTCCCCGGTGCTCACCCGTCTTGGGGTCGATCTCCGGCGAGAGGTGGCCGGGCGGCGAGCCCGGCGAGAAGTGGTCGTTGCTGTAGGTGATGAGCGGGGTCAGCGGGTGCATGTGATGCGCGTGCTGCACCACCGGGACCTTGTTCGACTGCGGGGCAGCGAGGGGAGAGCGCCATGGGAGGGCGAAACAGTGACCCTTCCTCCAAAAATCCCACCACCACCGTGGCCGTCACACCAGCCCAAATCCTAAATCCCAGCGCCACGGAGTCGGGGAGGGGGGATGGAGTGGGGTTTTCCCCCGGGAAAGCCGTCACCCCCGTGGGATTTCGGCTGCTCTTACCAAGTGTGCGGGCGAGGGCGAGCGGCTGTCCTTCAGCGTGGCGCCGGCCGGCACGTCCAGCAGCGGCCACTTCATCTGCAGGTACTGCGGGACAGACAGGATGACGCCCTCCGCCAGCCCCGAAACACCTCCCCCCAACCCCAAATCACCCCCACACTCGGCCGCGGGATGCCCTGACCCACAGAGGACACCCTGGGCTGGTGGTAAAGGGGTTTTGGGGGCAGAGGGGGCTGTTTGCAGCCCTATACACCCCTAGGGACCCCCTAAATGGGGCAAAGACCCAAATGGTGCAAAGCCCCAAATCTCTGCTCCAAATGATGCAAAGTCCCAAATCCTAAATCCAAAATCTCCACCCCAAATGGCGCAAAGCCCCAAACGATGCAAAGCCCCAAATCCTAAATCCCAAATATCCACCCCAAATGGCACAAAGCCCCAAATCCTAAATGCCACATCTTCACCCCAAATGGTGCAAAGCCCCATATCCTAAAACCCAAACCTTCACACCAAATAGTGCAAAGCCACAAACAATGCAAAGCCCCAAATCCTAAATGCCACATCTTCACCCCAAAGGGCGCAAAGCCCCAAATCTCTGCTCCAAATGACACAAAGCCCCAAATCCTAAATGCTAAGTCTTCGCCCCAAATAGTGCAAAGCCCCAAAAAATGCAAAGCCCCAAATCCTAAATCCCAAATCTTCACCCCAAATGGTGCAAAGCCACAAGTCCTAAATCCCAAATCTTCACCCCAAATGGCGCAAAGCCCCAAATGATGCAAATCCCCAAATCCTAAATCCCAAATCTCCACCCCAAATGGTGCAAAGCCCCAAATCCTAAATGCCAAATCTTCACCACAAGTGGTGCAAAGCCCCAAATGGTGCAAAGCCCCAAATTCTAAATTCCAAATCTTCACCCCAAATGATGCAAAGCCCCATATCTAAAACCCAAATCTTCACCCCAAATAGTGCAAAGCCCCAAAAAAATGCAAAGCCCCAAATACTAAATCCCAACTCTCCACCCCAAATGGTGCAAAGCCCCAAATCTCTGCTCCAAATGGCACAAAGCCCCAAACCCTAAATCCCAAATCTCCACCCCAAAACACTACAAACCCCCAAAACCTCCACCCCAAATGATGCACACACACCCACCCCCAAATCCCAACCCCCCCAAATCTCCACTCTATTTGCAAATCTCCCCCCCCAAAAATCCCAAATCCCCGCCCAAATGCTGCAAACCCCGACTCCTGCTGGGCGCTGTCCCGCGGGGGGAACCCA